GGCCGATGCGGACTCTGAGACCATCACCGATTGCGTGGAGCAGTTCGGCGTGGAGGAGGCGTCTGCCAACCGAATCTTGGAGCGGGAGTTCAAGGAAGCCAGGTACATAGGCCTCTCGTGTGCGCCCTCGTGTCCTCTCTGGTCGGGTGTCTAGAGGACTTTCCCGCACCTGCTTTGATGTGGTCAGAATGTTCTCTCGGCCCCCTGCTCTTTCTTGTCTATCCTCTTCCCTCTTCTTTTTTTCATGGCTTGAGGGCGTCGGTCGTTCCCGGAGGAGGAGGGATGATTTTCGGTGCGAAGGGTGGGGGTTTACCCCTTTTTCCCCTTCCTTCTATGTCGGTGTCTTCCTCACGCCTTCCCCCCCCTCTATGTACCTCCGTTCCCCTGCCCCTTGGCTTCCTCCAGCCGCCAAGCCTGCGTGGACTTGATGGGCAACATGGAAAGAGCCGACTACCTCGGTGCTTTTCGGGATTTAGGCCGACTCGTACGCATAGGCCGGTGCCTCCCCTTGCCCCTGGCGTTTGGAGAAGAAGCATTACTCGGCATGGCGGTGTGCGGCGAAATTCGGAAGCTCTGGTCGGCGTACGCGAAGCTGTTGGGGAAAACGAGCGTGGCTGTAGGGGGAGAGGGAGGAAGCGACGGGCTCGATTTGTCCGCTGTCATCCAGGGGACCCCGCCCGCGGAGCTGGAGAAGTTCCAGCAAGGATTTGGGGAAGAAGACGAGATCCTCGACAAATTGATTGGGGGCTTGGAGGCCCTCCCTGCCACAGGTCAGGCCCTTCCCCCCCTCTGTCCCCCACCTTCTCTTCTTTCCCGCCCGGTCGAAAGCCGCTTGCCTTCTCACTTGCCCTCCCCTTTTTTTTCCTTTGTCTTGTGCCACCTCTCTACTTTTTCAGAGCGTGACGCGCATGCCACTTTCTTACCGTGTTCGCCCTTCTCCTGCATGTATTCCTCCCCTTTCTCCCCACAGCCGCTGACGTCGATTTGAACATCGACTACCGCGGGCGGAAGGTCAAGCGCAAGCGACCCGGAGGAGAGGACATGATGGAGAATAAGGAGGAATGGGAGGAGGGCGAGTTGGAGATGATGGAGAAGGGGGGACGGAAAATTGTGCTGGGGGAGGACGGGCGGGAAATGACGATACTGGACATCATTCGCAAGGCGATTGAGACGCGACATACGTTTATGGGGCAGAAAAAACGAAGGACAGGGCCGCAGAAGAAGGGTGAGAAGCCAGTGAATGCACAAGGGCGGCGGGCGGCATGAGGAGTGGGGAACGGAAGGGAAGGAAACATTGGTTTGTTATGTGTAAGAAGGATATCATGGGAGGGAGCTTCTGCTGCTCTTCGGAAGAGTAACGTTGCTTCCTGGTCCGGGCGTGATGAAGAAGATAAAGGACTTATTGAACAAAAAGAAGAACAAAAGACATCGTTGGAAGTAAGTAGCCGGACGCGCTCTGAGTCGCTGATTTTGTGATTTATTACGGACGTGCTCTGTCCCACTAACGAGGTCATTGATATACGTCTTTTTATCCGGACGAAGCTCAAACCTGCAGGGCAATTTTTCGCACAGTAAGAATGTAGCAAGAAAGGCTCCCTGGAAACATTTAGATTTGAAAGACATTGTATGTCGATCGCAGGTAGACTCCCCCTCACATGTGATAACATTATTTTTGGTTCAGCAGCTCGGATTTTGTCTCAGAAAGCTAGCTTGCGTTTCATCTCACGTAGCAGTTGAAGTCATTTTGTGTCAAGGGCAAAGGCACTCCCGAGTCTTGCCACAAGAAAAGCATTGACCCCTCTTTGTGCCTTGCGTTTGCCCTTGTTCTTACACGTGGGCGTGTACATGCCAGTGCCCGGCTTTAATTCATTCAGTTCGACACTCCCCTACACACCCGGGCAACGGATCTATCACGCCCAGATAGGATGGACAGTTCCGACTTTACATCCCCGTATGTATGAGACAAATAACAGGTGTTTTGTGAGCGTACACCCATCAACCATCTTCAACATATTTTTGACACTGTAATGCGTCGGGCCAAGTTTAGTACTTGCCGATACCCTTTGTAAGACGCTGATAAACTCCCGGACGTTCCTTCCCTTCCCAGTCATTGCCAAGGGCTCTCGACCAGAAGACCATGCGGGGACTCCTGCGCAGGAACAGCAACGGCGGTCAACCAAGAAGCAGAAAGGGCAAAAACGGCGGCGAACATGGCTTGCAGGCGGATGGGACAGGAGATGGCTCTTCGTCATCCACGTGCCACTCCGCCTCCGCCCCTCTCTCTTCAACTCGCACATCCCCCTCTTTCGGGCAACGGAGCCAGGCAAACCGGAGCCAGGACGGCGGCAACAACCGAAGCAGTGTCCAAGGCCCTCCCTCTCCCTCGGTGGTCTCCCCGGAGTCTTCACTGTCCGAGGACGGGATGGGTCAGGAAGAGGGAGTGCCGGAGTCCTATCTGGCCCCGCACGAAGCGGCTGACCTTGTCGACATGCAGGAGCCTGTGGAGGCAGACAATCTCCGAGTAGAAAAGGCAGTAGTAGGGGGCGAGAGCCTGCGTGGGATGGCGCCAGGCGTGTCCGGCGTGGAGGAGGGTGGAGGCCGGTAGGTGACAGATGCGTAGGGGGTAGGGAGGGAAAGGGTGACGTGGATCCCATGGCACGGTCTGTCTGAGAGGTGAGGGATGCGCATGCGTTACCCCCATGCTTGTGTTTTGACCATGCCAGTCTGTCGGGGTGCCGCATCGGTCCACCGGAGGCCTCGCTCTCGTCCATATCGGGCGTCCCTGTGCTTGCAAGTGTCTTTTGATGCCCCTCCACGCTCATCATCGACGGTCCACCGTGCACCTTTCCTCTCCCTGTTGCCGTTTCTTTTCCCAATCAGGTCACAGCCTAGCCCGAGGGCGGCCGCGACCATGTCACCCGACCTTGGGGTAGTCTCTGAGGGAGGAGGAGGGGGGAAGGAGGAGGAGGGAGGGGAAGGGGAGGAGGAGGAGGCGGAGGACGGAAGAGGCGCAAGGGAGGAGGAAGTGCGGGCAGCACGCTGGTGGGAAGACCGGGCGGCGCTCTCGTCCTTGCTGCGGGATATCAGGCAAGGCCGTCGGCCCGTCGACGGCCCCCTCCTCGATCTTCTCCTCGTCATGGGCCGACGTGTCTTCGACGCCAGCTATCGCCCGTCAGCTGGCGTTCTCTCCGCCTGCCGACCTCGGTTCAAGGAGGGGAAAGAGGGCGCCGTTCTTCCCTTTCAAGGCGGGAGGTGCGAAGAGGCCCACTCGTCTCGTGGAGGGAAAGGCATCCGCCCCGGCAGGGGTCAGGACCTATCTCCTCCTCCTCCTCCTCAACTCCCGCCCGTACCCCTCGCCCCCAGCACCTTCCCTCCTTCGCCCCTCCTTCCCCCTGCCCTTTCCCCGTACCTCGCGGGCCTCGGGGCCACCAACCAGGGGGGATTGGGCTGGTTCTACCACTTACTCCATGCCCTCTGTCGGTCGGAACTCGGCGTCGCCCCCTGCGCCCTCCACACGGCGCGTCTCCGGGCGCACTACGAAGCCGCCGCCTTTTTCTGCCGACTCAAAGGCGGGGCCCACGCCGCCGGCTTTAAGCTACCCGGACCTCACTCTCCCCGCCACGGCCGACCGTTGCCGCCCCTGCCCCACCTCTGCCTAGGGGAATTGCGTCGACGGCTGGCCACCTTCTTGGCCTCGTTGCACTGCCCCGCCTACGTCTCCCGCCCCGCCTTGGACGCCTTGCGGAAGGAAAACGTGTGCATGGCCCTCCGGTGGCTGGAGTCGCCCCTGGCGCCCCTCGAGGTGAGCGTCCGCTCGGTCTTCCTCCCCTTGGTCGAGTGGCTGTGCCGCGACGTCTTGATGGCGGAGGTGCTGGGGGAGGAGGTCCGGATACGGCTGGAGCTGGAAGTGGAGCGGTTGGAGATGGAGGTGGCGCAAGCGACCTCGCCCCCGCTCTGGCGGACTGCGGGCGTCCCAGATGCGGA